TTCTCTTCTCTCTCTCTCTCTCTCTCTCTCTCTCTCTCTCTTTCCCTACCCTTAATTGCCCCACTATTCTAAACAACCCCCCCCCACATACAACACACACGCAAGCACACTCACTCACGCGGGGTTGTAAACATCAATATGGATCTCTGAATCCGTGGAGTCATTCTTCACACCACATTTGCTGAGTCCTCCAGTACACCAGGTTTATTTAGGTAGAGTTCAACAATCTTCGCATGCTTACCATTGTCTTACATAATATATTTGCAAACTGAACCGCCACTTAGCCAAACAAAGCAATGGCGAAGAAAGTTGAGAGGAATGTCTTAAGGCTGAGTGCCAAGGCTGCCTGGGATCAGCTATGACTTATGCTCCTGGAGTAACGCGTAACGAGAGGAGACATGATCAAGACTTACAGAATATTTCGAGGCATTGATAGGGTAGACGAGGCCAGTCACTTTACCCGGGAACGAGCCTAAACAAAGGAACACAAGAGGTACACTCAACCGACATAGAGAAACGTGAGGGAACATATCTTTAACATGTGAGCAGTAAAACATGTGAGGAGTAAACATGTGAAACGAGCAAGTAAACATCAGGAAACTCCTCAGTAGACAAGTTCAATTAAAAGTCGAGACGTAGGTTCAAAAAACTCGAGTAGAAAATTAGACAAGAGAAAATGTGTGCGTAATGGGATGTTACTGAAGATAAAACACGTGAATCACACATAATTAGTACCAACATTTATATAGGAACATTGCAATGTATAAGGCACCTTTATATGACGTTTCGCCCAACAAAAGCATCTTGGACTGTAGTTTAATACATAATTCATGTACACAGTATGTGGGGGATCAGGGTCAGGGAGAGAACACATGTACACTGTATGGGGGGATCAGGCCGGAAAACACATGTACAGTGTGTGGGGGATCAGGGTCAGGGAGAGAACACATGTACACTGTATGGGGGGATCAGGGCCAGGGAGAGAACACATGTCACAGTGTGTGGGTGGGATCAGGGTCAGGGAGGGAGCACTTGTACACATTGTGTGGGTGGGATCAGGGTCAGGGAGGGAGCACATGTACACATTGTGTGGGTAGGATCAGGGTCAGGGAGGGAGCACATGTACACATTGTGTGGGTAGGATCAGGGTCAGGGAGGGAGCACATGTACACATTGTGTGGGTGGGATCAGGGTCAGGGAGGGAGCACATGTACACATTGTGTGGGTGGGATCAGGGTCAGGGAGGGAGCACATGTACACATTGTGTGGGTGGGATCAGGGTCAGGGAGGGAGCACATGTACACATTGTGTGGGTAGGATCAGGGTCAGGGAGGGAGCACATGTACACATTGTGTGGGTAGGATCAGGGTCAGGGAGGGAGCACATGTACACAGTGAAGACGTTATAACAGTCTTATATTAACCAGGTTATATGAGACACCTACAAGGTTTCTTGGTCACGCTGTCTCCCTTCTCTCTACCTATTAAATTTGTTATGGACTCTATTACACCTCACGTGAATCTGTTACACCTGTCCTGAAGCTGTTACACCTGTCCTGAAATTATTACACCTGTCCTGAAGCTGCTAAACCTATCCTGAAACTGTTACATCTGTCCTGAAACTTCTAAACCTGTCTTGAAACTGGTGTACCTTTCCTGAAACTGCTAAACCTGTCTTGAAACTGCTAAACCTGTCTTGAAATTATTACACCTGTCCTGAAACTATTACAACTCTCCTGGCTCTCTTACATCCTGACGCTCTATTAGGAATACCTTGATGCTCTATTACAACTGCCCTGGTCCTCTATTATACCTGCCCTGATGCTCTATTATGATAGTTTTCTTGTGTGTCATCTTCCACGTTAAATTTAGTTGCACTCTCGTATATACCCGGGATATGCTTAGAGGGGGTTTCGGGGGTCAACGCCCCCCGCGGCCCGGTCCGTGACCGGGCCGCCAGTATCAACAAGTTAAACTTTTATATTATTAAATTCATGTGGAGAACAAAACTCCATAATTCGTCTGTCGACAGATGAATTATGTCGACAGGGAATTATGAGAATAAATCCTAGATTTTTGTCGTCCACTTGTATTTAATAAAACTGTTAAAAGCTTGACTTGTTGAAATTATCAAGATTGAACTTGAGATGATAAAAGTCGTAACGTGAAACTTTGTAGACCTAATTTGAGATGATAGTCGTAACGTGAAACTTTGTAGACCTGATTTGAGATGATAGACGTAACGTGAAACTTTGTAGACCTAATTTGAGATGATAGTCGTAACGTGAAACTTTGTAGACCTAATTTGAGATGATAGTCGTAACGTGAAACTTTGTAGACCTAATTTGAGATGATAGTCGTAACGTGAAACTTTGTAGACCTAATTTGAGATGATAGTCGTAACGTGAAACTTTGTAGACCTAATTTGAGATGATAGTGTAACGTGAAACTTTGAGACCTAATTAGATTATCGTAAGTAACTTTGTAATTAATTTGAGATGATAGTCGTAACGTGAAACTTTGTAGACCTAATTTGAGATGATAGACGTTAACGTGAAACTTTGTAGACCTAATTTGAGATGATAGTCGTAACGTGAAACTTTGTAGACCTAATTTGAGATGATAGTCGTAACGTGAAACTTTGTAGACCTAATTTGAGATGATAGTCGTAACGTGAAACTTTGTAGACCTAATTTGAGATGATAGTCGTATCTTGATACTATAAGACCCAACTCGATTTTTTTTTAAATTAAATATGAAATTAACTGAAATAAAGACAAATATATTAGCCTGTGTTATTTTTTTGGGGGTTTGTAAATTTTACTTAAGTCTCTCCTTGTTTCTTCAATCTAGCTTCGAATAGCTTAAGTAAGTTTGATCTTATAATTTCTAAGTCCTGGAGAACGTGAACTAAATTGACTAATAACCCGCACATAAGAGAGTGTAACTTACGACGACGTTTCGGTCTGACTTGGACCATTAAGTAGTTACACAGTTTGGTTCTCCGATGTGCGGGTTGTTTGTGTATTGTTCCAGTCACGTTGTGCCTTTTTCTTCAGTAAAAAAATTGAACGAATGAAATTACAGGTGTGGTTCACAAGTGTCTGGGAAATTTTATGATTGTCAGGGGGACCTATTGGGACCTTACAGTCGATTTCTGGGGGTCACCGCCCCCCGCGTTCTGGTTCTCAAACAGGTCTCTGGGTTGCTAGCATGATCGACCAGGCTGCTGTTGACCTCAGGAGAAATTTAAGAACATTTTAACTTTTACCTCTGGATATTCTAACCAACTGTGAGAATTATTTTTTATGATCTATGTGAAGAATTTTGTGGAGGGTTACATGTGTGTGTGAATTATATATATATATATATATATATATATATATATATATATATAATATATATATATATATATATATATATATTATATATATATATATATATATATGCAAAGCAACTAGTGTGAAAAAATAGTGAAATTCCAAGCGCTTTCGTGACTTCTCACATTATCAAGGAACTATAAAAATAAAACTTCAACAGGAGTCGGGTGTTGTGACGTGACTGTGAGGTGTAATCTTGCCCTTGTATGCCTTCCTGTTTATGTTTTATTTTTATAGTTCTTTGATAATGTGAGAAGTCACGAAAGCGCTTGGAATTTCACTATTTTTTCACAGTGGTTGTTCTGCATATTGTGATATCAATAATAAGATCACAGTAAACAGGTGATAAGTGTTTTATGGCTTCTTAATCATAGGGATCTGAATTTTGAAAATTTCCTTCCTGTTTTGGGCCGACCATGGAAATTGGTTGTGTAAGGGTACTCCGGCCGTCAGTGACACAGGAGGATTTGGTTCCCCATTAGAGCTTTCACCATGACAGTCGATTTAAGTATCAGATTTCTTTCTTTTTCATATTTTTTTTTCTTCTGCGTTTAGACTTGTTTCCTTCTCGTCTTCCTACTACCCATATTCATCTTGTGTTCGTCTTTCCATTGTTGGTGATGTTTATAGAAGTGTCTGGCCAATGGCCCAGGACCGGCAATATTACCCTCATTAGTAAATGTTCCAGTGTGTAAAGTGGTCCCACTAGGATGTCCCACAGTAAATGTTTCCAGTGTGTAAAGTGGTCCCACTAGGATGTCCCACAGTAAATGTTCCAGTGTGTAAAGTTGTCCCACTAGGATGTTCCACAGTAAATGTTCCAGTGTGTAAAGTGGTCCCACTAGGATGTTCCACAGTAAATGTTTCCAGTGTGTAAAGTGGTCCCACTAGGATGTTCCACAGTAAATGTTCCAGTGTGTAAAGTGGTCCCACTAGGATGTTCCACAGTAAATGTTCCAGTGTGTAAAGTGGTCCCACTAGGATGTTCCACAGTAAATGTTCCAGTGTGTAAAGTGGTCCCACAGGATGTCCCACAGTAAATGTTTCCAGTGGGTCAAGTGGTCCCACTTGAAGGATGCATCACTTTTAAAATTACTAATTACAAACACAAAAATATCACATTTTCCTCTTCAACTGGTCCTCTAGCATCTCAATCTAGGCAATTTTAGGACACAAGGCAGCTAGCTTTGTGGCTGCCGCTTGTCTTTACCTTCTGTGTGTGTTGGTTTTACCCCGGCAGCCGTCTTGTTGCGTGTACTTTCAGAACCCTCGCTTTTTTACCTGGAGCTCTGAAATATGATGAGGTTGGGTGGGTGGGGAGGGGGCAACGAGGATTTACCAGGATTTTCCATTATGAATGGTGTAATGAGTCGGATTTACTCAGATACCATCTTTGAATCAAATCTGATTTCCCAGCTGCTGTATGGATGCTTCGGATTTAGCCCTTCCCTGTAAATATACTACAGCTGCTCCTGCTGCCACTGCTGCTTCTACTACTACTACTACTACTACTACTGCTACTACTATGTTTTCTACTTTTACTAATTACGTATGTTTCAGTAACTAGCGACATGATAGTCATGTTGCGTGTACAACACTAGACCACTACAAAGGTACTCACCTCTCTTCTGCATGAAAAAGAAGAGTTCGTCGAGAAATTCTTTCCTCTTTATGTTGTCGTCCAACTCGTATAACTGTAAAGAAACGTGAATATAATAATAATAATAATAATAATAATAATAATAATAATAATAATAATAATACAATATAATTTTCTAAGATTACTAACTTTTCTAGTTAAAAGTGAAATTAATGAATGATTTATTTTTATAATTTGAAGTCTTGTTTAATCAATATAATGGAATTTAATTTTTTTTATATTGTATGTACATATTAAATAACCTGATTTCATATTAAATAGCTTTTTAATCACAATGTATACATATAAGACATCTTAGACCAATTGTTGTGACTTGACAGTACACAAATAGCCCGCACATAGGAGAGAGGAGCTTACGACGATGTTTCGGTCCGACTTGGACCATTTACAAAGGAAATTTAACCTATGTGCGGCTTATTTGTGTATTGTTCCAGTCACAGTATTGTACCTCTTTGTTCTTTTCCTCACAATAGTTCAGGATGGATCAAAACGTGGTACCTCTGATATACCTTTAATGAGACCCGAGAGTTTTTTTTTTTTTTACTCCCGGAGCCCGGCCATGGACCAGGCTCGTCTCATTCCTGTCCTAAATGTAGGATTTTTAGTGATATACCCTGAAGCGTTTGTAAGATAACACAGACGTCACTGACTGTCCTGGTAATGACGGGGATCATGCCTGGCTGTACAGATACGTACACTGGCCACTTTCAGATGATAGTATGACAAGGGAAGCTGGTCTGGGTCCTGGCTACTGGGAGGGGGGGGGGGCAGTGACTCTTCCTCACCCCTCAAGGGAGATTCCTTGACGCTGGTGAGGGACTCTTGATCTAGGGAATTGGATCTGTGATCCAGTTCCCTGAATTGAGCCTGAATACCTTCCATCTTCACCCTCCCTCCTGCAGGGGCTGTATAATCCCTTGGGTTTAGCGCTCCATCATGATTATAATAATCTTCCCTTTTCCTCCCGGAACTAGAAATATTTGTAAATATTTACATATGATATTAAAAAAAAGAATAAAAGCACATCGGTTTCACGTGTGATCTTTTTATATAGGAGCAACTGACGAGACGTCTTATTGCAATGTTTCGCTCTCCAGGAGCCGTGTCAAGCCAGTGGCGTAATAACACTCCTACAGGGCGAAACGTAGCTGCAATAAATGATCTCACAAGTTGTTCACATTTCCTTTTACCCAGCTCCCCCGGAAATAACAGGTTTTACCCAGCTCCCCCGGAAATAACAGGTTTTACCCAGCTCCCCCGGAAATAACAGGTTTTACCCAGCATCCCCGGAAATAACAGGTTTTACCCAGCTCCCCCGGAAATAACAGGTTTTACCCAGCTCCCCCGGAAATAACAGGTTTTACCCAGCTCCTCCGGAAATAACAGGTTTTACCCAGCATCCCCGGAAATAACAGGTTTTACCCAGCATCCCCGGAAATATTAACAGGTTTTACCCAGCATCCCCGGAAATAACAGGTTTTACCCAGCATCCCCGGAAATAACAGGTTTTACCCAGCATCCCCGGAAATAACAGGTTTTACCCAGCATCCAGGTATCCAGGTAATCCCCGGAAATATTAACAGGTTTTTGCCCAGCGCCCCAGGATATATTAACAGGTAAACACAATAATATCACTGCCCACCATACCCCTCGAGATAGATTCCTGACGACGGTGAGGAAATTGCACCTGAATTCCCTTGAAAAGACAATACCACTGCTCAGACTGTAGTGTCAGTGCCCACAGTAATATTAGTGCCCGGCGAGAGGGCACCACTGCCTACACAGTAATATTAGTGCCTGGCGAGAGGGCACCACTGCCCACACAGTAATATCAGTGCCCAAGAAGAGGATACAACTACCCACAATAATATCGGTGCCAGGCGAGAGGGATACAACTGCTCACAGTCGTATCGGTGCCCGGCGAGAGGGCACCACTGCCCACACTATTATCAGCGCCCAGTGAGAGGGCAACATGGCGCGAGAAGCGGGCTCCCCGCTGGTGATGTCTGGCGCGCGACGGGGATGAATTACTGCAACTATTACCATGATATCAACATTACTGCCGGCGTACCCCGGGAGGCCAACACTGTGGGTTTATCCTCTGATTAACCTGCCAATATATTACACCTGGGTGGGCGTGTGGGCGTCATGAGAGCGACGGGATCGTGTCACGCCCGTCAGACGCCTGCTGCGCACTGCCCACTAATTGTTTCTGCGCAGCCCCGCCGCCCACTACTCATATGGGCGGCCAGGGAGAGTGGGCAGCCGTCAAGGTAGGAATCAGGGATCCTGCCAGAGTCTTACACTGGTAAGAATAGGATTGGAGAAAAAGCATATATATTCTTTTTAACATACCGACCATCTCCCACTGAAGTTGGGAACTAGAAAAAGAAGAAACACCCTCACTGTCATTCATTTAATCACTGTCTTCCCAGAAGCATGCTAACATCACAGCATTATGTCATGCCAACATTATTTTATCAAACAAACATGGCTACATCAGCAGTCTTCTGCTGTCCTATCCTATATGGGGCTCTGGTGGCCCTGGTAGTTAACGCTCTCGCTTCACACGGCGAGGGCCTGGGTTCGATTCCCAGCCAGAGTAGAAACATTGGGCGTATTTCTTTACACCTGTTGTCTATATTCCCCACCAGTAAAATGGGTACCTGGGTGTTAGTCGACTGGTGTGGGTCGCATCCTGGGACACTTACCTATTTTTGCCCGAAATGCTGTGCATAACAAGCGGCTTTCTGTATAGTACTATGTCATTGATGTCAGCTACCCACTGTATACCTTGTACATGTACTCGTAGTAAATAAAGATATGATATTATTATTATATGTTTCTCTGTGTTATTCTACTACAGAGAATGAGTTTCTTACATATTGCTCGGCACTGTTCGCATAAGGGTAAGCATAGTGGCGAACATATCACCAGAGGTACACATCAACCAAATAATCTCTGTAGAGAACAGAAATGCACTAAAACTAATCTCACTACTTTCTACTACCACTGTTACTTCTTCCACTACCAAACTTACCACTACCACTACTTTCTCTTCCTCTCTTTGTCCTGTTCTTGTTCCCCTCGTCTATATATACTGGCTCCCTCATTTTTTTTGTTAGTGTGACTTGTAAATGGTCCAAATCTCTCTCCTGTGTGCGGGTTATTTGTGTATAATCTCTGTAGCGAATGTTTGTTTGGCAAACCTAAGACAAGCTGTCAGGAATCTCGACAAAGAAATCTGCACGGTCTTGTATACGACGTACGTAAGGCTCATTTTGGTGTATACGCTACCAGCATGAAACCTCGCATGTTAAGCAGCTGGAGAAGGTACAGAGCTGTGCAAGGAGACTAGTCCTTGAGCTCAGGAGAATAAGCTACGAGGAGGAACTAAACCTGAACCAGAGAAGACATGATAACGACATATAAAATACTCAAGAAGTTGATAATGCTGTTAGAGAGGGACTGAACAGTTTAACCCTTAAACGGTCCAAACAGATCGACGTTCAAATTCGTAGTGCTACAAAAGTAGATCTACTTTTTTTTACATTCAAATATAACAAAAAAAAATGTAGATAAAAGTTTTTACGTTTTCAAATGTAAAGCAAAAAAGATCTACATTTTTTTACATACTTTCAGATGTTGAAAAAACGTATATATACGTTTGGACCGTTTAAGGGTTAAAACACTGAGCCACATTACTGTTAACAAATGAAGTATTTGTTCAGCCTGAGGGTTGTCTACCTGGAGGGTGTTCCAAGGGTCAACGCCCCCGCGGCCCAGTCCTTGATCAGGCCCCCAGGTGGATCAACCAGGCTGTTAATGCTGCCCGCACGTAGTCCAGGGTACGAACTGCAACCTGGTTGATCGGGTACTGACTTTAGATATCTGTCCAGCTCCCTCTTGAAGGCAGCCAAAGGTCTGTTGGTCATTCCCCTTATACCTGGTGGGAGGCTGTTGAACAGTCTTGGGCCCCGGACACTTGTGTTTTCTCTTAGTATATTAATGGCGTCCTTACTTTTCATTGGGGGGAGGGTGTTACACCGTCTGCCCAGTGTTTTGCTTTCGTAGGGAGTGATTTCTGTGTGCAGCTTTGGGACCAGCCTCTAGGATTTTCCTGTGCTCCAGTGAGTACAGGGCAAATGATTCCAAGCGTTTCCGGGGAGTGGAATGACCTGAACGAATGTTGTGGAGGAGAGGCTCTGTACATAGTTTAAAGAATAAACATTACATGTTCTTTGAGGCTAAGGAGGGAGTGAAGCTAACATGTGTCAGGAAGCATGGCAAGGCGCTTAGGCTCGACCCTGGCAGCCACAACTAGGTTAGTACACACACTGCACTTTATCTTCCAGGATGCTGGGAGCTCCGGCGTCTCTCCCAAAAAAGGATTAAGCATTCGGGGAGCATCACGAGCACGAGAAAGGAAGTGTAATAAGCAAGAACTTGTTGGTAATGAAACCTGTCGGGAGAGGCAGTGGGGAGGGAGTGGGGACGGAAGGGGAGGGAGTGGGGACGGAAGGGGAGGGAGTGGGGACGGAAGGGGAGGGATTGGGGAGGGACGGTCAGGGAGTGGGGCGGGACACGGTGGGTAGAATATGGGCCGGATAAAGCGGGTAGGGTAGAGCGGTGCGGGTATCTACTACTTCTATTGTGATGTGGCTTAGTGGACGATGTGTAAGTTTTAGGTACAGGTACAAATAAGCACACTTATCATATATAATAACATGTGTACATTACCGAGGATAAACCCCCAAAAAAGTCAGATAAAGTGACTTATACACCTTACCTATGATACACCTTACCTATGATACACCTTACCTATGACATACCTTTGAGTTTCGATAAATTTTCTGCTCCAAGGAGCCCAGCCTTGGGCCATGGGCATCAGGCTAGTATCGGGCACGGCGCCCTTGGGGTGCAAGGTAAACTACCACACCACCACAAGGACTGGGCTGCGGGGCGTTGACCCCCGGAACACCCTCCAGGTAGGTAAACCACCCAACTGTTGTTGTAAACCAGATTTCTCGAGCT